TTCTTTTGTATACTGTGTATTTGATCTCCAACCAAATCTCTTCTAGTTTGTAGACTTCCGGATCATTTGTTAGTTTAAAATAAGATAGTGATACTGATACATTTTTATATTAGAATTTATATACTTCTTTTACCTTAAATGGAAAAGTAGAATCAGCAGTCAGACTTCTTAGAGTCTTCCTTCGCGATTCCAGTGTCGTTTATAGTTGAGACATAATACAAAGTAGATTTTGCTTTGTGACATAGGGGACACAGTACACTTCCAGGGTAACCCAGGATAACCCCACTCCTCACAGTGCTCTGCAGCCGCTTCTCTTCTGGTTTTGAGGTGGGAAGGAAGAACCCAGGGTTACTCCCTGCTGTTCGGACTTCTAGCTGCCCTTACTCACCAGTTAGGGCCTAATCGGAAGGAAGCTCATTCCTGCTAAATTCTGAGAGCGTCAGCTTTCTCTTCTTACTCCTTGTGGACTAGCTTCATGGCTTTGAGAAAGTTGGATGCTACCATTTAATCTCTTCTGAAAGACATGGAGATGATAGTGATGTCTGAGTGAAGAGGGGTGTTGTGTGGGTCGTGGTTGGTGGGGCACTCCTGTACTCCTAGCACTCAGGAGACCAAGGCAGGAGGATCTCAGTTCTATCTAGACCAGCCTCTGCCTCCCAAGTGCTGGAATTAAATGCGTGCACAACCACCACCCAGCTTCAGCATCTGTTTTTAAACTTTCTTTCGTCGTGACTTAAGGGATGTGTGATCACCTGGCAAGAAGATGAAGAACTGGAGTTGTAGCCTGGCTGCTTTACCTAGGAGGCCCTGGGTTCCGTGACCCATTCTGATGGGAGATGAGGGTCAGGGGAGTGCCCTAGGTGTGTGTCAGGAAATGTAGAAGACACCTCTAACTCACTCATTTTTGTTGTGAACCTCAAACTACTGGGAAAGGCAAAGGATTTTTTTGGGTTTTGTGTACATTGAAATCCTTAATTGATGTTCAGGACTATTTACTCTTTATCCAATCTTTCTTTCCTGTTGAATTCCCGTACACATTTTCTTCCCCACATCAAAAAGGTAAGTATATGGATCCAGGCCAGAAAGTACCATACCCTCATTCCTGGAGGGAAGGGATGCGACAGAAGGACAGACATACTCCACATTCCTTTGGTTTTATCAAAACCTGTCACAGACTTTGGAATTAGGGTGTTGATACCACTCCTTGGATTAAAATTCACTCTCAGTCCTGGATAGAATTTAGGACACTTTGGTCAAATAATAATAAATAATTGTCTAATCTTATGTAAATAGTTGCCTTTCTAAATATCTGTGCCTGAAGATTCCTTTGAAGGGAGTGTTTGAAGTTCATCCTACTTCAAAGGCAGTTGAAATACTTTTTTACTTGGGGTGGGGGGTGGTGGTGGTGACACATGCTTCCACACTTTTGTATAAGTTAGAGGACAACTTACAGGAGTTGGCTCTCCCACAGAACAGGTCTCGAAGATCAAATTGAGGTCATTAAGCTTGGCAACAGGTACCTTTACCAGCTAAGCCATCTTGTGTCTCGAGTTATTAGTTTGTTTTGCTTTGCTTTAAGACAGGGTCTCATCAGGCGGATTTCTGAGTTCAAGGCCAGCCTGGTCTACAGAGTGAGTTCCGGGACAGCCAGGGCTACACAGAGAAACCCTGTCTCAAACAAACAAACAAACAAACAAACAAAAAGACAGGGTCTCATATAGCCCAGGGTGGCCCCAGACTTAATATTTAGCTAGAAATGACCTTGAACTTCTGACCCACCACCTTCACCTCACAAGTACTGAAACTGCAGACATGGATCACCACACCCAGTTTTATGCTGTGCTGTGGACGAAACCCATGCATGCTAGGCAAGCACTCTACCAACTGAGCTATCCTAGACTAATTCTTTACCTTTAGGTTCAGAACTACTTCTTATCTAAAGAATGTAATGGCTGATATCCTGCCTGAGAGTGGAATATGCACACTCCTGTGTCCTTACACACATTACACTAGGAAGGCAGAAAGGAAACCACTTTATTTTGGGGGGTTGTGGGGTATCTACTTGAAACAAAATCTTCCTATGTGGCTCAGGCCGGTTTGAAACTCTCAGTTCTCCTGCCATAGTCTGAGTGCCTGCCTCTTTCTTTTTGAAGGCAGTGATAGCACAGCTGGGGCTTTGGAGACTAAGCATGGCGGCTCCAAGGCTAGTCTGTGATGTTATTTTAAGCTTTCTCTAGTGGTGTGTATCCTCCAGACTGAAGTGAAAATGAAGGAGTAATAGGGGGCTGGTGTCCTTCCTGGCTGTTGATAGTACCTCTGTTGTCAGTCTGTCTAGCAAGCCAGTATTTTCCTTTTCTCTTAAATTAAAGACTAACATGTTTTCTGACAATGTAGGGAATTTCTGTTCGGCTGAAGTTTATATTGTCACTGAAGCAAAACTGCTGAAATAGGAAATTGACTGGTTTTAGCTTTATTACTAAATTTCTCCAAAGCACAAACCCAAGATAACATCTGGCCCTTCATGTGCATTTTTAATAGCTACAAATAATTAAAATATTAATAATATTTTACTCTGTAATGTAATGTTAGTGGCAGCATATCGCATTTCTTGGCTGTGGCCAACCTCAGTGAGCTGCCTCCTGATACTCATACCCTGTGTGGTCCCATCTGGAATGTTTCAAGGTTGGGCTGCACAGCTGAGATGTAGGTCTTGATAATCTGAACACTCTACATTGTGGGAAGCCAGCACTTAAACAGTGGTGAGCAGAACCTCCTGAGATCACAATCTAGAACTACCCAGCTAACCCCTCATCCTAGATTCCTGACCATTAGATACCATATGAGATAAAATGAGTATTATTTAAACTGCTGAAGTTGCTGTCAGCACTTACCCTCATAAAAGTTATTTTCATTAAATTTTAGCATGTTAGTTTTGCTTATTACTGCTATGTACAGTTAAACATGTAACACATGAATTGGTTGAAAAATGAATTTCTCTCGTTTCCTGGTGTTTGGTATCATAAATACAGCCTTGAGCTGACCTTTTCTGTGTTTGGCCCTGTGGTGGAATTGCTGTGTGACCAGAGCCTTTCAGAAGTCCGTCCACAGTTCCCTTTCGTTTGCAGGTGAAGCCATGTGTTGGTGTGGATTGTAATTAACCGTGCAGGTGATTGTGAATTACTCTAAAGTATCAGAGAAAGCAGACAGCCTAACAACTGTTCTCAGGTTGAGGCCTCAGCAGAGAAGCTACTATTGCTTGTAACTCTGATGCTTACTGATCACATAGGATAATCAGCATGTGGGTTTTTAAAGTCGAGTTTTAGGATTAGTTAACTCTACAGTCAAACCCGACAGGCAGCTTCTTGACAGAACTAACATGCGCATCACCAGTTGTTCCATGACCACAGTTGATGTCCCAGCTTCTGCTCACTCATCCCAACTCTCCACAGCGTTTGAAAAAGAAAAGGTCATTAATGTAAAATTTTAAAAGACTCCAGCTTACTCTTTCTTTTGAGCTACAAAACTAATCTTGGTGACAGTAGCAGTCATTTCTACACTAATGATGCAAATTTGGTTTTATAAGAAGGGCAGGAGCTATAGGAGACTCCAGGAAAGAGAAAGAATAAAGATGAGGAAAGAGGTCAAGTGTGGTGGCTCACGCCTGTCAGTCCAGCCAGAGTCCAAGGCCAGCCTCCTCCCCAGCCCAGGGCCTCCTCCATACTCCAGTACACACAGGGATTTTTAAAAAGAAAGAAGAATATTTGCACTTTCAATGTCTGTGTCTACTGTGTAAATATCATCAAACTGTTCCAATCATCTGGTGATAGGATGGCTATAGGTCAAACCAGAAATCAAACAGAAAGTGTGTTTGTTTTGAGGCAGGGTCTCACTGGATAGCCCAGACTGACCTCCATTTAGGATTTCCCCCATCTCAGCCTCTTATGCAGGACTTGTGGGCTTGTGCCACCATGACCAGTGTTGGGGTTTTCTTCATAGTTTGGTTGTTGTCACTTTGTTTGTTAGTTGTTTTGAGATAGTGTCTCAGGATGTTGCTCAGGCTTGCCTCAGGCTCTCAGAGATCCACCTGCCTCTGCCTCCTGAGTGCTGGGGCATAAAACATATGCCCCTATGCCCGGCCTGTGTGGAAACTGCTAATGCCACTCTGTTTACGTACCTGAGGTACTTGTTGCTCATACCATGTAGTACCTAAAGCTTTCCTGAGCAGAGGTAAGACAGAGGTATCTTTCCAAACATTTGTTGATCCTTAGATACCTATTGTGCAGGGGTGGAGGGGGGACAGAAAAGACTAAGGAACGTAGAGGGTGATCAGAGATTGAAAAGGGGGTAGAATTTGGCAGAGGTAGAAGAGTTTTTGTGTGTGGCTGTTGTTATATGTACCTACCCCCTGTTGACCCACCAACAGTGAAAGCAAGTTCTCTCTGTACAGATCAAGGAGTCCTGAATTCTTCTCTGTCCACTTGCGTCTTTTGCATACCCGCTGGCTGGCACGGGTTGTTTGTTTCTAAGTATATAAACTGATAAAGTCATCATGCTTAACACTTTAGGAATGCAAATGCCATACAAAAGAAAGACAAGATAAACCTGAGGGTTACACAGACAGACTTGTGGAGGCAGTGAATGCTGCTTCAAAACGTGGGACTTCCAGAGCCGTGCTAGCTGGGTTTAAGTACCTGTTCTGACAGCCGCTGCCTAGCTGAGTAGCTAGCCTCTTTCTAATGGTTTTCTTATCTGCAAGGTGAAGGTGATTAGTATTACTTTATAAGGCTATAAAATCACCTAAGTTAATATGGCCATACCTGCTCTGGATAATGAATGCCTAATTCTGGGTATGTGTTCGTATTACTGCATGGTGCCACCACCTGATGTCGCCTGATTTGTAGTCAGGTTTACACTAATGCTACCACCTTTGGTGTTGCAGCACATTCCTCTCTTTAATGGTTTTGTTTTGTTGTTTGTTCATTTGTTTTTCTTATTCTCAGGCCCAACACAGAGATACTTTCATTGAAGAACGCTATGGAAAATACAACATTAGTGACCCTCTCATGGCTCTTCAGAGAGATTTTGAAACACTGAAGGAGAAAAATGATAGTGAGAAGCAGCCAGTGTGCACAAACCCCCTCTCTATCCTCAAGGCGGTGATGAAGCAATGCAAGAACATGCAGGAGCGCATGCTGTCCCAGCTGGCTGCTGCCGAGAGCAGGCACCGCAAGGTAGGCTTGCCCATAGGCAGGCTATGCTTTGGAAATCCCCAGAGGACTCCCGTCAGCCACCAGTGTTCAAGACCGTTGAAGGGGGCTGGGGAGCTCATGGGTATCAGAAAGACTCCTCAGTTGCACAAGAGTCAGGGCACAAAGGGAAACGGGTCCTTGCACAGGTCCAGACATTACTAAAGACAGCATTCATTTGTGATGTGTCACTCTAGGTTATTTGGTGCTTTTTTTTTTTTTTTCTTTTCAAATCTCAGTCTTCCAAACTTTAGCAGCAAGCTGGTGTTTAGCCAAGCTTGTAGCTGAACAGAGCGTTCTCTGCTTATTTAAGTGATAAAAAGATTAGCAAGTATTTAGGGGAGAGAGAGAGAAAGTATAAATCTACCTGATACTAACCGTGCAAGCATGGAGATTGTTTCCATTCGTTCTGGTTTCTCGTTTCATTACAAGGTGTAAAGCTACAAACAGCTTCTGGGATGGCTTGCTTTTCAGTCTTTTCTATACTGGATTGGGAGGTCAGGGCAGGCACTCTGGTGCCGATAGCTCCTAGGTAGGAGGGCAGACAGACCTGTGCTCTCTGCAGTTTCGTATTTGAGAATTCCAGTGTGTGCATTCTTTTTCCAGCTCGTTCTTGCCTACAGGTGAAGTTTGGCAAGAATCTGCATTTTAAAAAGCCAGCTACTTAGATTTGGACCTACCAGATAGGCATCGACAGTGGCTTGTAGGAGACACTTTAGTCAGGGAAATGACATCAGCAAACTTAGTACCTTAGTTAGTTTGTTCTCGTGGTTATCTCCATGGGCGCTCTCTGCTAAAGCCACATCTGGAACATTGCCCCTGAGCTGGGCCTTCTTGCCTGTCAGCCTTTGTTTCTCTTCACTGAGTCCAGAGGATAAGTACTTAACCATGGGTAAGTCACATGACCCACAAGACCCCTGAAATATATGAAATATCACAAGTGTATGCATTTTTGTGGAAAGTATATTTTTTATACTTTTAGTCAAATTCCAAAAGTTGCCTATGGTCTAAAAGAAGAACTCTCTTCCAGATCATCTGCTGTTCAGATACTAATCTTCCCGAAAATGTCACTTGTGGCAATATGTCTAATCCAGAATATATTATCTAGAACATCCGTGGCAGCATGTGTAACCCAGAATGTGTCACCTAGAACATCTGTGGCAGCGTGTCTAACCAAGTGTGTCATCTTGAACATCTGTGGCAGCATGTCTAACCAAGTGTGTCATCTAGAGGCTCCTTTATGGCATGAAGTCTTATTCACAGTTCATACAGGAAGTAATTGAGCTGTACTGAATAGCATAGATGTCATGGAAGGTGTAGTATAGTTTGCAGATCTAGGTGACTGGAGAGAGGAGAAAGTTAAAAGTTACTGAAAATTCCTTAATATGCTCTGTCAATTTGTTTTAAGTAGCATTAAATTTTTGAAATTAAGTAATTTACCTGTTTTGTTTTGTTGGTTGGTTTCTTGTGACAGAGTCTCTTATAGCCCAGGGTAACTTTAGTTTCTTGCTGTGTCACCAAGGATGACCTTTGCTGCATGGGAAGATGAACATTACCATGCCCAACAAAGTACCTAACTGCTCTTGGGTGTTTTGCCCAAGCTAGGCACTAAAATTACCAGTAATCAGTTAGTACTTAGAGGTCTGTATGTAGCGTAAGTTTGCTGAAGATTCCCTGTGTCTGCCCTTTGCTGTGCCGTGGCTATTAACTGTAACCCCTTCTCCTCAGAAAGATGAGCATCTGAACAGCAGATGCTCTAGAAGAGAGTTCCTCAGGCACATCTTCTTCCTCTTTCCCAGTGCCTCCAGCACTCAAAGGGAGCTTTATCTTTGTTGTTTTGAAACACAGATTTTTGTCACACACACACCACCGCATATACCCTCCCCAGGCTTTAACTCACTGGGTAGCTGAAGATGACCTTTTGACTTTACCTCTTAAGCATTGGGACTGCAGATGCTGCTTCCCATACCCAGTTTAAGGAAGAATCTTTATCTAATCTTTTGAAAATCCAGACTCCCTGAAACACCTGCTACTTCCAGGGTCCCTTCTCTTTGGAGGGTGAGATGGCTCACTCCCTGTTCCTGAAGTGCTGCCTCTCCCCAAGCTTGGTTTCCATTTCAGAATGTCCCTTTTTTTGTTGTTTTTTTTTGTTTTTTTTCAAGACAGGGTTTCTCTGTGTAGCCCTGGCTGTCCTGGAATTCACTCTGTAGACCAAGCTGGTCTCAAACTCAGAAATCCACCTACCTCTGCCTCCCAAGTGCTGGGATTAAAGGCGTGCGCCACCACTGCTCGGTGTCAGAATGTTCTTAAAACTTCCTGTCTGGGGCCTGGAGAGATAGATGGCTTAGCAGTAAAGAGCACTAATTGTTGTTCCAAAAGAGTTCAGTTGCTAACACACCCACATCAGGCAGCTCACGGCCACCTGTAACTGCAACTCCAGAGAATCCAGTGCCTGTGGCCTCTGTGGGCAGCCTAGCTCGGGTGGTGCACACAGGCTCTCACACATGAATAAATACAATAAATCTTTTTTAAAAACTTTCTCCCCAGGGCAGGAGAGATGCTTCAGCAGTTAAGGGCACTGACTGCTCTTCCAGAGGTCCTCAGTTCAATTCCCAGCAACTACATGGTGGCTCACAACCATCTGTAATGGGATCTGATGCCCACTTCTGGTGTGTCTGAAAACAGCGACAGTATTTCACATAGATAGATAAATAAATCTTTAAAAACAAAAAAAAAACTTTCTCCCCTACTAAAGTCTTTCACCTCTGAGACTCTGTAGTATTTTTATTCCTTTCTGTAACTTTAAAGGGCTCTCAACTTGATAGTACATTTAACCAAAAGTCTTTCAATTAAATTTAAAAGCTAGATTTTTTTTTTAGCTCAACAGGAAGTACACTAATACATCTTAATTTTAGTTTTATTTCTATTTAATTTTTTTTTTTTTTGAGGCTAGATTTCCCTGTATCTGTATAGCTCTGGCTGGCTTCAAACTTATTGTGTAGATAAGGCTAAATGCACAGTCATGGAAATCCTCCTGCCTCTGCTTTCTGAATACTTTGAGGAGAGGCATTTGTCACTATGTTTGTTTGTTTGTTTTCATTTTAAACTTAAATGTGGGGTTCAGTGTTATAGAAAGTGTTCTTTCTTCATTCCTAACATTGTATGAGACAAGATCATGAGAGTTGGGCTCTGAGGTAACTGACTGCCCTGGAGGTCTGGGCTGAGCCACCTCTGAAGCAGGAGCTACCGAATGATACATTCACATGTCAGATGCTGTGTGGTTTAGGCAGAACTACAAGGGAAATGTCCATATCTACCTGTATTTTTCTGGAAACTGGTTTAGATCCTTCAGCACCAGGATAAATGGAATAGGATAAATGGGCAAGTCATGAAATTCTGTGAAAAATCACCAAGTAGGATTCCAATAACTGAGCCTTCTGCACACAGGATGAAGTAGGAGTCTTTCCCAGCTGATCTGGGTGAACAAACGTGTGTTATTAGTTAAGCAAGGCAGTGGGTGTCCTGTTTGATTTGAGCTTTAGTTTCAAGCTCGAACTTTGGTGTCTCCTGTGACCACATTGAGAGGAACACCTCAGCCTTGTGTGGTGCCACCCACGCCCACAGCGCTTGCCCCGGCAGGTCCCTAGTTGTACCAAATTGCATGTGATTTCCCAGAATTCTGCTGGTTCTCAAACCTTCCCAACCCCCACAGCTAAGTAGTTTCTCTCTTGTCTCTGCATTCTTCTGCACATACTTCAACAAAGTAAATATCTTGTTTTCTAGCACATAGCTTGCGTGTCTTTCACCCTGTTAGACAGCATGTGCCTTGAGAGCCCTGGCTGGATTTCGTTTGTTTGCTTATTTAATCTGTAACCCTCAAGCGTTGAGTGGTGTAAGTGTTGAGTTGATATTTGGAAGTTAATGCTTTAAAATCCTTTACAGGTGATCCTCGACCTTGAAGAAGAAAGACAGAGGCATGCACAGGACACTGCTGAAGGAGATGATGTCACCTACATGCTGGAGAAGGAGAGGGAGAGACTGACGCAGCAGGTAACTCAGGAAGAAGGAGCGTGGCGACATTGCCTAGAACGACACTTCTTAGGTTTATTTCAGTGTGCAGAATTACATTATAAATCTTTACAAAGGAGAAAGAATGTTCCATGTTTAACACATCTGTTCCCAAAACATCTTTAAAAAAAAAAAAATAGATAACTTGGGGTTGGAGAAATGGTCCAGTGGCTGAGAGCAAGCACTGCTCTTCAGAGGACCCACGTTTGGTTCCTCACATCCATGTCAGGTGTCTCACACCTGTAACACCCTCCTCATGTCTACAGTAACGCCTGCACTCACATACACATAGCCCACACCCACACACAAGAACACAGAATTTTAAGAATAAAACAGCTGTCATTCAAAGCATGTCCTTTAGAGGTCTCTGATTTTTAGGCTTTTGTTGTTGTTGTCGTTGCATGACCTACAGTAACATGTCACAAACCAGTATGCCTGAGGCAAAGTGTTGAGGTTTTGTCTTGCTTGTATTTTAATATTTAATATTGGGCCCCCAAGATCTGGTTGTCCCAGAGATGAGACAATCTACATGTAGACTCAAGTGACACTGTGTGATCTTGCCCCCAAGTTGTTTTTGATTGGTGGATAAAGATGCTGACAAACAATAGTTGGGCAGACCAGACATTGGCAGAGGTTAGGGTTCCCAGGCTTGAGGGAGGAGAACCACGAGAAAGGGAAGGTGAAAAGGATGGAGGAGGAGCCACCATGGGTGAGGTGAGCCATGAAAATGTGGCCCAGAGGGCTGTCCAATTAGAGTTAAGAGCAGCCCAGATGAAACATAATAAGTAATAAGTTGGAGTTATCAATAGGAAAGTGGACTCTAATAGCATAGAAGGTAGACATCTGCCCAGCTTCTGTGCTGGTTAAGGCTTATTGTAAGTATAAAGATTATGTGCGTCTTTTATCTGGGAGCTAAATGATAAAGGCAGGGTAGAAACCCCAGCTTGGGATTAAATAATTTCCACAACACAAAGATTACAGGACATGAACCAACCGTTTGTTTATTCTTGTACTATGCAGTGGTGGTGTAGTGCTTACTATGTAGATCAGGGTAGCCTTGAACTCACATTCTTGACTTTTTTTTTTTAAATATGATCATGGCTTGCTGAACTGGTTTCCCCACTTATCAATGTGTCTTGAATTGGAAATTCCTGATTAGAAGGGTTCACTCACCCCATTCCCTCTCATTCAGAGTCTGTATGATAATGTTAGACAATAAAACAAACTACATTTGTGTAGATCCAAGGATGGTGGTTCATGTCTCTTGTTCTACCCGTAGGAAGGAGGATTTCAAGTTCAAATCGAGTCTCAGAGAGAGACTTCGTCCAATGAAAACAAGAATGGGCTTCAGCGAAGCCGTTTATGTTTGTTCCTTTCTTTTACGGTCAGACTAAACGATTGCTGCAGCTTTAAGTTTGATTTTCAACAGCATCTGTAGATCCCGCTTACATGGTATTCTGTTACTTGTTTTGGCTGATTCTATGCCTCTCTGCGTACCTAAAACACAACAGTGCATCATAGTCCTGCTGTTCTCCCTGAGTCAGTTCGGAACTCGAACGCCTCCCAGGACATCAAGAAAGGATTGAATCATGGCGTGTGGGGGTTCTATGTGGGGTGTTCTCATACTTCAAAAATACTAATTAACCTAAGCACTATGGCACACAGACTAATGCTGTACACCAGACAGCAGCCAGTGAGGGCGCTCTGCGTGATCGTAATTGTCTTTTCCGTCTCTAATCAAGATGTGTGGTGTCATTTTTTTTCCTAGTTGGAATTTGAAAAGTCCCAAGTGAAAAAGTTTGAAAAAGAACAAAAGAAGCTGTCCAGCCAGCTGGAAGAGGAGCGCTCCCGCCATAAGCAGCTCTCGTCCATGCTGGTGCTTGAGTGTAAGAAGGCCACCAGCAAGGCAGCCGAGGAAGGGCAGAAGGCTGGAGAGCTGAGCCTGAAACTGGAGAAGGAGAAGAGCCGGGCAAGCAAACTGGAGGAGGAGTTGGCAGCTGAGAGGAAGCGAGGCCTGCAGACAGAGGCCCAGGTGGAGAAGCAATTGTCTGAGTTTGATATCGAAAGGGAGCAGCTGAGAGCCAAACTGAACCGAGAGGAGAACCGGACCCGGGCCCTGAAGGAGGAGATGGAGAGCTTGAGGAAGCTTGTGAAAGACCTAGAGGCGGCGCAGCAGCCCAGCCGCACCAGTGAGCAGGGCCGGGCACCAGTGACCACGTCCAGAGGCACAGCCACAGAGCCTCCCTTGCGAGTGTCTGTTTTTTGCCAAACAGAGAGTGTTCAGACAGAAAGAAGCCATGGGAGCGTCCTGACCAAGCTGACAGATGCTGGTCTCCCAGGTCCCACCACTGCTACTTACTCCTATGCAAAAGCTAATGGCCACTGTGACCCAGACATACAGACTACCAGGGAATTGACCTCAGATGGCAGCACAGAAAACCAAGGGCCTCCACGGGAGAAATCTGCAGTATCGGCCCAGGAGAAACCAATGGAGAATGGTGGGTGTCCTGTAGGAACTGAGACTCCAGTCACAATGCTCAGTCACCTCCCTTCTAGTGGCAGCTCACTGTCTCCCAGCAGCACTGCCTCTTCCTCTCTAACATCGTCTCCTTGCTCTTCACCAGTTCTAACCAAGCGTCTCTTGGGGTCATCAGTCAGCAGCCCAGGCTACCAGTCTTCCTACCAAGTAGGGATCAACCAGCGTTTCCATGCAGCTCGGCACAAATTTCAGTCCCAGGCAGATCAGGATCAGCAAGCCAGTGGTCTCCAGAGCCCTCCATCCAGGGACCTGTCCCCTACTCTGTTAGACAACTCTGCTGCCAAGCAGCTGGCCCGAAACACAGTCACTCAGGTGCTCTCCAGATTCACTAACCAGGGGCCAATTAAGCCAGTCTCTCCCAACAGTTCTCCCTTTGGGACAGACTACCGAAATCTGGCCAGCACTGCCAACCCAAGAGGTGACACCAGCCATTCACCTACTCCAGGGAAAGTGTCCAGCCCTCTGAGCCCCCTCTCTCCAGGAATCAAGTCCCCAACCATCCCCAGAGCTGAGAGAGGAAACCCTCCACCAATCCCACCCAAAAAACCTGGCCTCACCCCTTCGCAATCTGCCACCACTCCAGTGACCAAGACTCATTCCCAGGCATCCTCCTTGAGCACCACAGAAGACCTTGCCACCAGCTGCTCTCCCGGTGGCGTGGTGGCCAATGGCAAAGATGTTGAGATACTTGTGCCTACCAGCAGCTAGTCCCTAGGAGTGAGTCGCCACATTTGACATTCCATCAGACTTTGTCCAAGAGCTCAGAGTTAAACCCCGGAGTCAGATCATGTTATTTATTTGATAGTAGCTACAGCCATCTGTATAATACATTCAGTGTATTTACCTTTTTGTATTTTTTTAAGTAGAAATTGAGTACTTGGATTTTTATGACTCACCTCTTTGTACTAAGCTAGAAGGGGACCTCATAGACATAGTACATACATCTCAAGCCCAGCAGTCACCAGCATGCTTCAATGGGAGAGCTTACCGAGGACCAGGCAGTGGTCAGCTGTCAGTTTTGGAGCTAGAATTACTCAGCACTCATTTCAAATTATGCAGAAGCAGTTCATGCAGATTTTTATTCCAGATGAACATGTTTTAAAAGTGCCTGAAATCGACTGCCATGTGAATGTGATTCTGCGGCAGAAACAAAAGACAGAGCATTTCTTGCAGAAAATGAGATCCTCTGTGAATCTGAATGTCAAAAACCAACACTGCTTTTAATCCTCTCTGACTATAGAATGCCAGCTTTGTGTTCTGAAACGAGGTTTGCACGAGTAGAGTGGAAATCCTTCTGAAGGGTGTGAACTCTGTCAGGCTGAGCTCTGTAAAGCCCTTGAGAAACCCTCCAGAGCACTTAGCCGTTGGGGTGCTGATTTTCTTGTGCTTTTGAAAAATTAAGTCATTCTCAGTTTCCTGCGTCAGTTCTTGAACAGTGAAATCACATCTCCATTCCAAACCGTTCTCAAGCACCAGCCGTGGGAACTTCCAATTCCGGTTGCTTTTACTTGAATAGGAAATGACATAATGAACTCTTTATTCTGTGATCGAAAAGCAATAACTTAAAAGTCACTCTTTGTAATATTGTAAGTCAGAATTATACAGATTTTACCAAATGGTTACATTTACTCTCCGTGCTGCCAGCACGTCTGTCTGTGGAACCAAATTAACTTTTGCCCAAATGGAAGTATACCTATATCTGTAGATAACATGCCCCTTTTACATGTTCAACATTCTCACACTCAAGCACATAAATATTAGTGTGATTGTATCTCTGGAGTTTGCAGTGTAGCATAAAGGACAAGTAGAATTGCATGTTAAGATTACCTACCAAAGCAATTAGATGTGGCTTAGAGCCAGTCAGTCAACAGAGGAATCCATTTGACAACAAAGTGGACAATCCCAAATGAAGCTCAGATTGTCAACATTATAGGAAAGCACCCTAATGCCACAGAACTCAGCTAGCCGAGTGAGAGAGAGAGAGAGAGAGAGAGAGAGAGAGAGAGAGAGAGAGAGAGAGAGAGCGCAAGAGCACAGTCCCTCACGTGCTATCCACTCGGAATAGAGGGGCCTGTAGCAAGCCACAGTATCCCAGCCCCGTGATACAGGGCTACTCCTTTGAGCCCCAGCTGCTGCTATGCAAAAATTGCTGATCAAGGTTACCAGTTCTCTAAACTTTCATAGAACTGAGATTCCCACAAGAAGATTCTCATTCAAAGCATTTCGGGTTTTTAAAAACCAGGAACTGATTTTATAAATGCTGGTGCTTAGACAAACATGGCTGCAGCTGACTTTAGCTTGCAAGCTACCAAGCTGCAGCCTCTCTCTTCCTAGAACTTGTACTGTTCCCCTGGTAGTGAGTTTGTATAGACAGAAACCTCCAGCCTTCTCCACTGTGTCAGCTACATCTGACCAAGTCCATAGAACAGAACACTCTTGCTCTTGCCAAGCAGACCTCCCAACAGACCAGCTCAGGACACTGGTTACACAGTTTTGTATCCAGAGTGGGAGAAAGAAAGGCCTTGGTGTCTCTACATACATTGTTCTGGCCAGCAGCTACCCAGAATCCCCTGGCCTTCTGTAACCTTTTATTGGGAAGGAGAATGGGTGATCATGTGAGAAGACCTGATCATGTGTTTGAAAAACCAAAGGATTCAGTGGACCCATCCAGGTTAGATAACTCACAAGGAATTAGACATTGATTTTCTTCTTGAACCACAGAGCTGAAAACAGAAAGTCTCCCTAATAATTTAGTTGTTAATAACTTTTAGTTATATTTTTATTAACCCATTGAGTCAGGAGGCAGGAAGCAGGTGATTAAAATCTCAGTGGGCAAGTCAACAACAGAGTATACTGTTGACTCTACAGCTTACAGTTTAAGTGATTAAGGTAAATGCATGGCACATGAAAGTATGGCTGATGTCCTAGGGTGTCTGCTAAAATGGTGGAGACATGTGAAACTGTCCAGAGCAATCCTGCATTGAATTTATTCCTATTGTGGAGCCAAAACGGACCAGTGATGATCAAAAACTGAAGCTTCTCATCAGGAAAGACTGCAGTGCCTGAGTGTTCTTACCTCTCTTGCTTTAAATGGTAATCTTAAAAGTTGCATTGTGCTCTTCCTCTGTTTGGAGATAGATATATATATAGAGAGAGAAAGAAATGCTATAAGGAAGTTTATTTCTTAGGGGGTGCACTGAACAATATTTCTTTTACAATATATTACAGGGGTGGGGATATGCAAAAGAAATGTGTATTTTTGCTAGTTCCTATCATCTGAGATAATAAGCACAATCCTGAAATGGATCCAATAATTCAGCTATATATTATAGATTAGTATTTCAGTTTGCAGTAGATTGTAAGTGTGTATGCTAAGTAAAAGTTCTATGATTCACAATTTGGGTATTAACCATGTCAGAGAAGCTGTTACTGGTCAGGAGAATCTGATGATGTGCTAGGTGTAACACAGCATTAACTAGTCATTAACATTTGTAAGGCCAAGTGTACCATGCAGAAGTCTTCATTTTTATAGCAGACTACATTAAAACAAGTTAAATCATAACTGTCTGGGGGAAAAGTCTTGTCTACAAAACGAAGAACGCTGTACCTCTCGAGCTTGTTTTATTAGAAAGGGGAGTGTGTGGTACATGGAACACTTGGTTGAGTTTTTGAAAAACTTGGTCTTGATGGCATCATCCAGGTTAGAACTTCCAGAAAATTAAGACATAGGCTTCCTTGTGAAACACAGAGCTTGGGGTAGGGGTTCCAGTAATCTAGTCTTTAATAACTCGTAATGTATTTTTACTCACTGGGAATCTCACACATGCATGTAGATATAGGAACATCCACTGGAACATGGTCTGCCTGCCAGAGGCTGCACCCCTAAGGAAAACTCACTTCCTCTCTAGTAGCCATCGACTGCCATTAACACTCAGCTAGCTGCGGGAACTTGGGAGGCCATGCTGTAGTGTGGCTGGCTTGATCTTGTGCAGGCAGCCACAGCTACTGTGAGCTCATGAGTACATTGGTTCAGAAGACAGTCCTGTCCCATTCTTCCTAACCTCTGGCTCATAGACTCTTTCCTCCTCTTTATGGTCCCCTCAGCCTTGGGAGAAGGGCAATACAGATGTCCCACTTACCACTGAGCACTCCACTTGGATGCATTCGCTGTCCTTTCACCAGCTGCCAGCTCCATTGACCCCCACACAAAGAAGCTTCTCTGAGAAGGGCCGAAAGCTGCCTTACTCTATGTGTATAAGGATACATACAGCATGTTGGCACTCTGTCCTCTTAGCAGATCACCCCTAGGGGCTGTGAGTTCCCCAGCCATGTGTTCTTGGCCAGATTTACAGTACCTTGCATGGAGTTTTCTCCTGCAAAGACAGGTCCTAAATCCAATCAGAAAGTAGTAGTTACCACTGTAACATTTTTGCCCCTGATGTACCATGGGCATATCTTGCTGGACCAATTACTAATAACTGTACAATCCTTTGGGGGGGTTCTAGGCCTTTTGAAAATCTTAGAAAAGTTACATGTTGCAGTTTCAGAAAAGTAGATGTGCCTATATGCAAAAGTCGGTTGATGGTTTCCCTGGAACCAGACCAGAAGCCACCAGTGACTCATGGGTTCCAGCTTTAATGCCTGATCTTGCCTTGCCCATTCATTTCACAAATGACTAATGCTTCCCTTAAAGTTTACTAGTCCATGCCTTCACTGCTACTCCATGTTTGCAATTGTAAGTTGTAGCCAGACGAAAGTACTTGAAACCGCTTTGATGTACAAAAGATGTTCAAACAGTGTGGATGTTTACGGATCTTAAGTAAGCTCATTAATGATCCATTCAACAAACACTAGCTAGATCCAGTTTCCCATGACGGCCTCTGGCAACTGCTGCAAGCTCTCGATCATGCCCTCTCTCCCTCTCTCCTTCTTTCCCTTTCTCTCTCTCTCTCTCTCTCTCTTCTCTCTCTCTCTCTCTCTCTCTCTCTCTCTCTCTCTCTCTCTCTCTCTCTCTGTGTGTGGGGGGGGGGGGGGGGGTCTGTGTGTGAGAGAGAGGGACTGAGGGAGAGAATTTAGAGGTTTTCTAACACCTAGGTAGTCCTTGAAACAATTTCCCATGTCTTGAAGTGCTGGCTTTGGATTAGGGGATGTGGAGCTAGGGCTGGCTGGCTAGTACATGCTTGCCTAGCACAGTGCTAAGCCCTGGGTACCATCCACAGCTCTAAGGTGGGATGAGACATGTTTTCAAAACTGAATCAGGCAGGCAATGAGCAGTATTTCATGGGAGTAGTTTTTAAACTTTGACTAATATTTAGCCTATTTGAGAGTCCATCTATCTGCCTATCAATGGACACATTACTAGAAGGGAGAAACATGCTGGGTTGGGGCTCCTTAAACTTACCGTGCTTGTGTATAGCCTGGGAAGCCTGCTAAACATGACGGCTGGTGAGGTCTGAGGGCTATGTTTTGGTAAGTAATACTTCCTATCCCTCCCTCGTTCTTCTGTGATTTCCTTGCCCATTATGTAAGAAGATGTCTTCCCTTCTGGAAATCTTGCCAGAATGTCAGTTACTCTGGGAGAAGTGCCTGTGAGTGTCAAGCCCCATGGTAATGCTTTGACATGAATGCCACAATTCTGTCCTCCTGTGGCCTGTTATCTCCAGTGAGCTGATAAAGGTGATTGAGGACACGACATCTGTACAAAAACTCCGGGTTAAGTGACAACCAGGATTACACACCTGCTGCTGAAAAATTCAGGTTCCCTAAATAGGACGACCAAGTGCAGGACCATGTGCAGGGAGAAGAGCTTTATCTAAAACTATGAACTTGTGGCTGGAGAAATGGCTTGTGATTAGGAGCACTTGGTGCTCTTGTAGAGGACTCAGGTTCAGTCCCAAGCACACAGTATGGCTAACAAGCCTTTAACTCCATTTCCAAAGGTTTCTCTCCTAACCTGTGCAGGCACTGCATGCATATACTTATACACATGAGGGCAAAACCCTCATACACGTACAAAATAATCTTTAAAACCTCTACAGGCTGAAAACAGGGTCTCCCTACACAGACTTGACTGGAGCTCACTGTGTAGACTAGGCTGCCTTCAACCCCTCTTTTTTATCTTTGAAGGTGTGTTAAAGTCTCATGGCTCACCAGCATGCTGATGACACTCTGTTTTACATAGACTTTTAGAACTATTAAGTACAGTCAGTCCAGAACCAACAGTTTCACTTATGGACTGCCTTCCAACAAAATCTTTCTGTTTCATATAATCTGTTCCCCCCTATTAGCCAAGCAGCTTCGATGGAAACACTGTTAATAAAAGCAGTCTTTAGTTGTGCAAATTTGCACACATCTGCAAGCTTGTAACTTGGGAGGTGGAAATACAAGGATCCAGGCTCCTAGGTCACTTCAGCTAAAGAGTTTGAGGCTAGCCTGGGCTTTTTGAAACCTGTCTAGAAAAGAAATGTTTAAAAGTGCTTGCTGCTAGCCGGGTGGTGGTGGCGGGTGGTGGTTAATTAATTAACTAATAATAAAAAGTGCTTGCTGCTCCTACAAAGGTCCAGGTCTTCCTGTAACTCCAGCTCCAAAGGATCCAGTGAGGCCTCTAAGGACACCCATACACACTTGGGCAAGGGAGCACACATGTGGGTACACACCCACACAAACCTAATCCCCTTTCCTCCTGCAAAAACCGATAATGGATATGCACACTCTGTAAAGACCCCCTCAGCCCTGATCTCCTGGTTACTTTTCCCTCTGCCCTAAGGTAGGTTCTTTGTTTTCTGGCCAGCATCTGTAGTAGCCTCCAAAACCTGCTTATTGTAGAACTTGAGTCAATCCCAGGAGTTTGGGTTTAACTCCCTCAAAAGGCCTGGTGGGTCTATGTATCGAGTTCCAGGTCAACCAGAGCTACACAGAGGGTTTTTTTTAAGGGGGGCAGAGAGGGGGACACTGGAGAGATGGCTCAGCAGTTAAGAGCACTAGCTGCTCTTCCAGAGGACTTGGGTTCAATTTCCAGCACCCACATAGCACCTCACAGCTTATCTGTAACCTCATTTCAAGGGACCTGACACTCTTACACAGATTTACATGCAGGCAAAGTGCCCATGCATGTAAAGAAAGCATTTTTTTTTAAAAAAGAAAAAGGCAGCCTGCTTAGTATGCATGAGCTCTCTTAAATATAGTTCCCAGCACCACGCTCCCCAAAACTTCAAAGTCAAAATTATAACAATTTAAAGATCTTCATTGGCCATATTTGTGGGTGTAGAACCACGCATAAGTTAGAATAAGTTATTGGAATATACCAGGCAAAGACTTTGTGGCGGTTACAAAGCTGAAAGGAACAGAAAGTAGTTTGGTCATTTCAAAGTTACTTGTAAGGTGGGAACTAAGACAAAACAAAATCAGATCAGCCTAAAGCCAAAAGAAGGAGCCACACTGGTAAGATTCAGACAAAGAATGTGGCTGTTCTCTCTGCTCCTCTGAGTCAGATAAGGTTAACTTGATGAGGGAGCTTCTGTGTGAGTGGTTTTGATTTTTAATCTGGTCTCTTGGGGCCTGGTTTAAGAACCTAGTCCAAAACAGCCACTTGTAATCTTTATCAAAATGTTTTGCTCTCAAAGTATCTGTTTCTCAACTACCGGGTATAGTGGCCTGTTATCCTAGCAGAGGCAGGAGGATTGCCACAAATTCAAAGCCTGCCTAGACTACATAGCAGAGTCTGTCTCAGACAAACAAAGCCATCATCGTCACCACAGAGGAAACCTACAGAATCCCAGATGCTCCCTTCTGATTCATTTGGCCAAAATGGGTCTCTCTCTCTAACCAAGTGATTAAGATTCAACAAGGTTAGAAAACCCTGTCAGGCTCCACTCAAGTGCCTTATCAGACCTAACCAGAGCCTGGAGACTTCAGATAAAGGAAGCAAAAACCAAGCCTTAATTAATTCCCCTCAAACAACAGGTTTCTTAAGGATCCAAGGAAAGCCAGAAACCAAAGTAGCTATTAAAGACACAAGTTTAGACCTGTTACAAGCCCTCAAGGTACTCTCAATTTAGCTGGGAACACACACACAGTGTACTTGATTCTAGGATCATCTTGAGACCTAGGCCAGTATAGGCTACAGGGAGAGCATCCAACTTTTAAAAGAAAAGATAAAAGGCATCTAGTTACTGAACATGCTTTAGAAGAATGCCCCCTAGTACTTCCCAGAAGCGCAGTGCTCTTAGTAAAAACTCTGCAGATCTTCAGATGAGAAGAGGGACAGAAATGTTTACTAGGAGGCCAGGAAAGCCTCCCGTCTCCATAGCAATTGTCTGGGGTTCTGCTTCATCTCTCCATGTCTAATTTAGGTTTCAGCCTTGACTCAAAGAGCCCAGTTTCAATTGAAAAAGAATGACAAGCACCTGTGTGTAATTTCTGCAAGGGTTGGGATCAGCTTAGGAGACTCAAATCCACAGCACAGTCCTGTGGCAGGGTGAGAAAGGGCTGTGTTTTGCAAAATGCATCACCCAGAAGTGTTCTCTCTTGCCCATTCCCCTCCTTACAGATTAAATCTCCAAT